CACACAAATATTAAAGTTTAACTGTGTTTTTTTGATACTTACTCTTAAATTAAGAAATTGAGTAATGTATAATACTAACATTTGAATTATAATCTAAAAGTTTGATACCAAAGTTATTGACATAAGTTCATGAAATAGTAGTTCCATAAAATTTTGAATACGAGTCAACAAAAGTGATGACATGGGCTTTCACCCTTGACCCATCTGGAAAGGATTAATGTAGTACACATGGGTGTACTTTTTTAACAAATGGATGGAATAAAAAATTATTATCATAACATTCAAAGGTATCTTATAAGAATTTTTAAGGTCTTTATTTTGTATCATCCTTTCTTTTGAGTGTTAAGCTGCATACAAAATATATTAGTTGCTCATGGCTCTCAATACTTTAAGAGGTATATAGACTGTTGGAGTAGATATGGTTTTAAATTATTCTGTGGATTTATCTTGTCTCTTCCTGATTTAAGGATAAGTTACATTGAATGACCAGTGAATGAAGTCCATTAGGACAAAAAATGTAATGTGTGAAGATTTTGTGATGAGTGTCATATACTGTATGCTGTAACAAAATATGTTTCTAAGATATCATGAAATAAATAAGAGTAAACACTAAGTATAATTGGAAAATGTTTTAATCTCTTGATATGTAAGTAGTCTGAGTGGCATATATAATTTGGAACTACAGTCTTATATGCATAATTTATAATAATACATTTTGTTATAACGTATAACATGACAAGATGAATTACTTGTTATTAGGTGATGATTCTTATGGAAGGAAAGTAATAGTCATCTCAGCCTGCAAGTTGCCATCTAACAAGGAACTTAATCATGCCAAGTTTCTCAGGTAGTTTTTATAATGTAGTCTTAAGTATTGTATCCATACAATGTGGGTTTTTCTAAATCTTGAGGGAATACATCTCAAAGTTTTTCTATAATACTGGTAACTCTGCCATCTTTGTGGTGTTATCATTTTATTGTTCACGTTTATCTTTAGACTTGGGAATTTTGTTTGTCTTCTGCTCTACTGAAGACTTTTTTGTGCATGTTGTTTCTATTATGCTTTGGGATACTTATTTTGGCAAGAAGAATTCACAAAACACTAATTTTGAGATTTCTACATATTTTGAGAGTAACTTTTAGTTTCAATCATTGTGGCATCTCCTGTTTTTTTTTCTGTGGCATTATGCAACTTTCATGTTTGAAACTCTGAGAGAAAATTTGTATGATAACTTTTTTACTATGTACAGCATTTTATTAAAACCCATACTGTTTGATTTCTATGTGTTACTAGATTCTGTGTACTATTTATATTAGTATTATTTTTACATATGGTGAAAAAAGGGGTTAGATTTTGGTAAAACCATAGATAATCTTTATAATTCTGAACTTGTACTAAATAATACAATGACTGCTGAAACTTTTAATACTTGATAAGGAATATATATTTCTAACAAATACTGCAGTTAGGATAACAGGGAAGTGTTTTTTTTTATATTAAAAATCAGCAGTAAGACATTCAAAAGTGTGGTAAAACATTTTTTCTTGTAACTTCAAGAAAATTTTCCATGAAAATTAATGTGTATTAACATTTTTAATCACACAGTTACTGTGATCTAAACAACTGTTTTTTAGAGGAGATTCTGTGGTCTTTGTTATAGGTATCTTATGTTCACTTTGGACCAGTTTGTAGAAAATGACTACACATTAGTATATTTCCACCATGGTCTAAACAGTAAGAACAAACCATCTCTTGGCTGGCTATGGGCTGCTTATAAAGCATTTGACAGAAAGTAAGTTTTATTTTAATAACTACATGTACTTGTAAGGACTTCCTTGTAGTGTGTGTAAAAATAAACATAGTGGCAATACATTTTAAAATTTCCTTTCCCGTTCATACAGTATCTAATATCAGCTGCATGTAAACCATTGTTTTTTTCAATTTTATTGCAGAGTATGGGATTTTAATCATGTATGTTTGTGTATATTTCAAAAAGTATGAATTACACCCACATGGAATTTGGATGCATATCACAATCCTGTTGCATGAAACTC